TGCACGATACACTTGATACAGTATCTTGATGATGGAAGCAAATGTCTGATCAAAGGAACATTGATAGCAAAATGTGAGAAGGTGATTGTGTGGGAAAAAAGGAAACTTCAAAAAGAAATTGACAAAATAGAGGACATGAGGTCCGTATGGTTTTCGTTTTGGATAAAAAGTAAACCCGTAGACAAAAACAACCAAGAACAGTGTAATTCGGAAAAAACACCTCCATACAAGGGTAGAAAAAAAAAAAAGGAGAGACTGATTCTCAACCAACAAGCCTGCTGCTGCAAAGCCTTTTTTATTTTAAGCTCTCCAAGCCGTTACTACACTTTTGATTTAAAAATAGTAGAATTGTAGTCATGCATTGAAGAAAGAAAAAGAAGATTTAAAGTCTTTAAAGCAACAACGGCTAGAATAAGCGTAATAAATCTCTGTTGAAGCAGCGGGGGTTTTATTGGAGTAAAAAGGTCACAGCAGTGAGAAGATGTGTGGGAGCAACAGTGGAGGCCAATAAGGCTGGACAAAGGTTTTATACCTCCTCACTTTGAGAAGAGCGCACACACACATACTGTTGAATAAAGTTAATCTGAGTGCCATCATTTAGTGATATAATTAGGTTTATGCATCTTTCTTGAATACCATGATATATAAAGAATAAAGAGGATAAATGGTCCTTTTGCTTTTCAGTTTAGAAGAATAAGCTCATCATTACTGGGCTGTCAAAGGTCTGCCAAAAACTTTTACATGAACAAGCGGATTGTAGAGGGGATTTTATGAAATCAACTAACAGGTTGATAAGACATTCCAACTTTTAGTTTGCTGAACTACTTTCTTTTTAAGTGTAACACTTGAATCAAGGATTTAAAATATGATGAAAAATTATTAGAACAAATACAATTTTTTTTTTGGGAGGGGAAAAACACTGCGTGCTTATTTGGACGAATGTACGGAAATCTGTGTGCAACACACAGGTCATCACCCAGGCACTGCGGGAGTGAAAGGGGAATGGTTTAGACAGGCGGTACTGGAGGGCGTACCAGAGAGTGTAAAAGCTAAAATGATCACTAACCCAGACCTGCCAGGTAGTGACTCTGCTGTGTGGGAGAGACATTTGCTACACCATTTACAAGCCAAGCGACAGATGGTTGCACAGGCTGCCCCAGCTGGAGGTAACGCCCCAGATTTGTATCCACTCCCACCATGGGAGGAGACGTCGTATGGGACAGCCCAAGGGGGTGGTTACAGGGGAGGCTATGGAGGTAACTGCTGGGAAGGAGCGTGTTGAGGAGGTGCATATGCAGGGGGAGGAGGAAGAGGCAGACGCAGATGGGGAAGAGGGTGTTTCCACTGTGGTATGGAGGGGCACCAGGTTAAGGAGTGTCCTGGTAAAGGAAGACAGGGGAGGGGTAGAGGGGTAGAGGGGCTCCCAACGCACATACTGCACCGCCCCCTAGAGGACAGTACCCCACACTGGAGGACTGGGGCTATGAGGCAGATGCCTCTCAGTGACACACCCACGGGAGAGACCCGGACAGCAGGGCAGACCCCATGCTGTCACTCACGGTACTACAACAACAATTGCCGTTTCTCGTTGCTGCTGGGGCCACATACTCCACCATACAGGCAGCGGGCCTGTCTGCTATGTCCGGAGATAGCGTCAGCGTTGTGGGGTTCTCCGGGGTGTCACAGAAACTGCCTCTAACAGTCCCCCTACTGGTGAAAGTGGGAAATCAGACATTGAATCATTCTTTTGTTGTTTCGCCTCAAGTTCCAGTGAATCTCATGGGAAGGGATCTTCTCATTAAGACGGGGGCTCCGATCTTGTGCAGCGTCACCATGATGGATGGAACGGTTCTGCATTGCAATGACAATGGTCAGTGGGTGATGCAGCCACTGCAGCAACAACAACAATATGCAGACATTTATTGGGGCCTCTTGAAGCCTGAGTGTCCTGAAGTCCCAGGGGTTATGACTCTTTACCAAAAGTGGAAGCCTTGGATAACTCTTCTTGATCCGTATGTTCCTCCTCCAGATCCTCCTCATGTAACATTGTTTTATGATAGACAAGGGGATGAGTGCTATTGTGACGAATTCATGGAACATTTAGAAAACACGGAATGGGAGGGGACGTCCCAAAATCTCTATGTGGGCCCGGAAGGGGTAGCCTCAGCTGTCATCCTCTCCCCCGATCAATCGAAATGGTATTTGATGAATCAAGATGCAGTGCCGCATGTGTCGTTGACTCTGCATCCCAAACATCAGGCTAAAGACCTAGGTCTAAATGACGAAACGGGCGATGCTGCTAGACGACTGGGTATGTACTCAACTGCCTGATGTTTGTTTTTCTCCCTCCGCTAAAATGTACAGGGAAAGCAACTAACCCTGTTATTTTAACACACAAACTGGTGTCCAGAGACCACGGACGCGAAAAGACCGACCATCCCTGCACAGCAACCCTTCTGGAGAAACTTCCAGACTACCTCTGGTCAGAAGGTCCGACTGGCGTAGGTTTTTGTAATGCATGTAAACCAGTGACGTTTGAAGTTTGTGACGGTCCTCCCATTTGGCAACCTCAATACCCTCACAAGCCAGCCGCGGCAGAAGGGATCAAAGAAACTATAGAGGGCCTCATTAAATCAGGTGTATTGGAGCCCTCACAGTCCGCCTGGAACACGCCCATTCTTCCTGTAGAAAAGACAGGGACCGGTAAATATCGCATGGCACATGACCTCAGAAAAATTAAGGACAGACTGGTAACCACTACAGTACCTGTCCCCAACCCGTACACTACATTGACTAGTCTGACACCACAACAGCAATGGTTCACTTGCATTGATTTGGCGAACGCGTTTTTTTGCCTGCCGCTACACGAACACTTACGGGATGTGTTCTCATTCACGTATGGAAACAGACAGCTACGGTATACTCGGCTACCACAAGGGTTCGCACTTTCGCCAGGTATCTTTAACCAAGTATTGAAACAAGCAATAACAGGGTGCTCCCTACCAGAGGGCACGACATTAATCCAATACGTGGACGAAATGCTTTCGTTTTTGGGCCTCACGGGGTTCAGTAGACAATTCATTCCGCGCTATTCGAATCTCACTCAAGTTCTGCGTGCAAAGGTAAACGAGAAAGGGATGCAAAATCTCACTGCTAATCACGAATGGGACCAAGGGGCGGAGGAGGCGTTTATCAAGCTAAAAACAGAACTGGCACAGGCCGCGGACCTCGCAGTACCGGATTAGAGTGCGCCATTTTACCTGGATGTTTCCAAAACAACAGGGGTTGTTAATGGGGTTTTGTTTCAGAAAAAGGGGGGTGGTAAAAGGAAGGGGGCTTCTGTATAACAGTGTCATGTTGGATAACATGGAAAAACGACATCATGAATGCACACAACACGCAGCAGGGGTCCCAAGCTTGTAATGAAAATAGCACACCACTGATTGGCAATTGTTCAGTAATGGCAGCTGCTTTAGACATCCACAGAAGGGGTTGCAGTCGGGATACGTGGTAGTCAGAAGCCATGGGACAGGGACAGAGGTTCTGGAAGCAGAATTCAGGGAAGTCAGTCAGCTCAAAGAGCTGAGGTACTCGCATTGATAAGAGCATTACAGCTGGCAGAAGGGAAGGCAGTGAACATCTATACTGACTCGGCGTATCCAGTAGGGGCAGCTCATGTGGACCTGGGACAGTGGTTAAGAGCAGGTTTTCTGACGGCTGGAGCAAAACCGATTAAACAGGAACAAGAAATGAAAGATTTGGCGGCAGCCTTGGCTCTACCGAGCACTGTGGCTATTATTAAGTGCAAAGGACACGAGAACTCCAACAGTATGGTGGCCAAGGGAAACCAGGCAGCAGACCAAGCTGCAAAACAGGCTGCAGGTTACCAAATTGGGCTCCAAATTGTAAGTGCAGAAGATGAGGGACAGTTGGGGCCACAACTTAATGAGGAACTAATTAAGGAATCCCAAAAGGGGGCGTCTCCTCAGGAGAAAACGTTGTGGAAGCAAAGAGGGGCTACAGAGGTTGGAGGCCTCTGGAGGTCCCCTGATGCCCAGTAATGCCGCCGGGCATCAGAAACAAGTGTTTACAGGAGGCACATGGGATGGCTCATGTGGGGCTCAAACAATATATCATCCACAATCTCAAGGCAAAGTAGAACGCATGAACCAAAACTTGAAAAAAAAAATTGGCTAAAATCTGTGCACAGACAAATTTAACCTGGGTTCAAGCGCTCCCATTTGTGTTAATGGTCATTAGAAGCTCAGTAAATCAGGGTACGAACTGACCACCGGGAGACAGTTCCCTGGATCCAGTGCTGGCCAGAAGCTTAGGCCCAACCCGGAAGCTCCGCCAGGTGAGTATGCATGTCGTATAATGATCTACGAGCTCTTGTTTCAGATTTTTCGGACCAGGTGCGAGACAAAACAGGGGATCAGAATGGTAGGTAGCCAGTAGGTAGCCTGAGATCTTGAGGGAGGATAGATGGAAGAAGTAAGTACACACAGGGGTGCAGGTTGTCAAATGCAAGATCACATGGTCAACAAGCACTTGGTCAAGCTAAGGTCTCGGCTGAGGGTGTCCGATGTTGGAAGACCCAAAACATCAGTTGAGAAGAGAGACCAACGCTGAAAAATCCCGAAAGTGAAACCTGCAGCAGTCCCTAAGCGATGTCTATGGAAAACTGCAGCCATGCTCATCGTGACAGGTTTACTTATGTTATAAATGAATTACTTGATTAATTACTTGATACCTATAACCTGTGAACACGCACCCAAATATTTCTGCAATCTCGCACCCAAGTTTTTAAAAAAGATAAGGTGGCTGTGTAGGACCCTGTTCAAATATGTATAGTCCTTCAGAGATTGTATGTGTCTTTAGCCAGGTAAGCGGTGCATAGCATTTTCAGTTGAAAAAATGTAATACACAGGGCTGTGCTATCAGAGTCGGATTTCTTAAACTGTATGTAGCCTGATTAAAATGATGACAGGACACTAAGATAAATTTATTTCTCTTTAATGTGGGTTCTTTATTTCCCCCGACTGCACTCCTGGAGCACAGCCTTAATGTGTCAAATTAAGGAGGCACTTGGAACAGTGTACAAATAACCAATTGCTTCGCTTCACTAACTAATCGGATGTAATGGAATAGAGCTAACGATTACCTTAAGCTAGAAATTACGTGAAGCTAACAGTTACATACAAAAAAAAACAACAGTAGTGACCCCTTCCTGTTAAACAGAAACAAAAACATGCACATTGGTCTCATGCTGTTCAAATCCCACACCATTGTCGTTCCTCCAAAAAGTCCCGAAAACAAACTCACTCAAGCGCCGGCGCGCACGGCTCCATGCACGTGCAACCTCGACCCACAGCAGCTTGTTACTCCCCTCTAAACGAAGCAGAGGTGCACAACCCAAGAACATACACTCAGTACAGGCAATCAATCACAATTTACATGGTGAGTCAGGTTTATTAATGTGAGAACACTTACGCTGACCCGCTGAACAGGTATTTCCCTAACGCTGTTCCGATGCTAACCGCTAACACTGTGTCGTGTTAGTAGCCACTAGGTCCCGCTCTGCAGCTCCAAATCCCACGTGAACTCATGCCCATGTACTTAAAGGGGCAGTACGCCCTCACCCTCTGTGCGGACCATCTAGCAGTCCAAAAACCTCCCTGCCCCCACTTCACCCGGCTACATGTAGAACACTGAAACCACACTTTGGGTAGGATGCGTCTTGTAGACAGCAGCGCTGCTACGCTTCAACTACAACTCTATTGTAGCTTTCAAGGCAGCAGTTATTGATAGGTGAAGACAGGGGGCGTGTGCCAGATTGGGTCAAAGCATCTTAGTATGGAGGAGACTCTGGGTTTTCAGGATAAGAAAATTAAATAGCGTACTACATAAACAGTTAATGAAATTTTGAATATTTAAGAACTATTTTTGAATGGATGCTAATTTTAATTAAAAATAAAAAAATCACGTACCTCCATTTGAGAACCACTGACTTAGAGTATGCTTTCTGTTGGTGCAGTGTTTTTTTGTGCACATTGTGTGTGACACAATGATTTTGTTAGTGTGCACAAATCTCTGTGTGCGACCCCTCCAAGATATTATAACCCGAGGGCTCGGTAATCCATCACACCAGTGTCAGGTGTAATATGTGACACATTCACCCGAGGAAACGCTGTCACATTAGTCAGCATGGATCACTCCTGCGCTTCGTCTTGGCAGACTTCTCTCCTGTTTTTTTTACAAAGAACCAAACAGCTGCAATTGATAATGGCTGAAAAATGAGGTGGAGTTATAAATTCTATTGTACCATGAACGCATCCAGCCCAGAACACTGACGTGCGGGCCTGTATGTGCATGCATATTTGTATTTATTTGAGATACATCAAAGCCACTTGCTGATTTGTTTATGTATTTACTGATCATTTAACTTCAGGGTAGTTTGGGTAAACGGATTACTCTCTGGAATGACTAAAGTAATTTTCATCAGTAATGGAAAAAATAAAAATATATGAAGTGAGTTTTAAAAAATGAAAATAAATAAAATGTTGGCCAGAAAGCCTTTTGAAATCATATTTGAAGTGGATCTGAAAATGGAGATGATGTTTTTAAAAACCGCAGCCAATGGCACCGCAATGGCTTTTGGACCAGGCTGCTCGAGCTTTCAATCTAAAACATTCGCATCAAGATCTTCAGTAGGGTTTGTGAAAAGAAAAAGAAAAGAACCCGAGAGTAGGAGATTGATAGTTTGTAATTTAGCGCCCCGTCTTCTGTAGTAAGGGTCTTTTACCAGTCCTTCTGGTCCTATTGTGTCCTGTCCGCTCACTCCCCTGGCTTGTTCTACGTAATTTGGAGCGTGTGGTGACAGTGATTTCTTGCCATCCCTTTGTAATCACTCCGGTCAGGTGAGCCTTAAATGATTGGCTCCGTTGTTCAGTGGTTGGATGGAAAAAAGGAAAGGTCCTCTAATCTTTTTCCCTGAAGGACATGAACGTGACCATTTTCTGTAGGCTGCGTGTGCGGCAGGCTTTCCTCAGCTGTAATTTGGGAAGATCACAAAGGTCATTATGTGCTTAACTGAGAACTGGTTCTTGCCTCTGGCAGCAGAGGTACTGATTTTGAAATTGCCTTTGGCAGTTTCATTTTCTGGGACAGTGTAGTAGACAGGCTTATCTAAGAAAAACTCTATGCTGGAAAAAAAGAGCAAAGAAACAGATCTGATGACTTTTATGATTGAATGTAGGACGAATACTTCCTCTGTGTCCTCCGGTTTTGCCACATTCTGAAGATCCTCCCAAAAGGCTTTTTATGCCTTTTATAGCTTATACTGTACATACAGTTTACTGTCTGTCACAGAATAATGTATACAAGGCTTACCATTATTTACCTACTAATAGAATTTAATTTTCCAAAAACAGCAAAGTGCTACCTATATCATAATTTGCCTGCAAATATTAGCCATTATATTAGTAAATTGTTGTAATTAGCATAGAATTCCAAAATTGAAACCTGACTGTACTGACGAAGTCCTAAACGAAGTCTAGTACTGGTTGCTAATATGGTGGATTAGTTTAGACGTGCGCCCGGTGCGCACACAGCAAAACGGAGAGTTCTCTGATGTTACAATTACCTTGCATGTTTATTTTACATCCAAATATTATAAAACGGCAAAACTTTAACTGATAATACATGTACCCAAAATAACAAACCGCATTGCTCACCACAAAGGCACACACGCACACTGGCACAGTCGAAAACTGTTTGCTTCCCAAATTAGTAACACCTGTGTCTGAGATTCCTGCAGGTTAAATGGCCTACCTGGGCTGATCCGAGGTCAGCTGAGCCACAAAGCACATACAGCCCCCTAGTGGCACAGAGCCAAATTAAATGAAATAATACCAAATGTATATGGCTCCTACACTCCAGCCCCTAATTGCGTCTGCCAGAGCAATTACCCCAAATTGAAAAGAGCCATGAACAAAACACAAAAAAAATAGTTACCAATAGAACCAATTACTCTTTAGTTTCATTAAGCAAGCATATTTTGGTTATGGGTCGTTCAATGATGTTTGTCTTGGTCTTTAAACGAACCACACGTACCAGACCTCTCTTATCAGGGAAGGTTTCCAGGACTCTTCCTAGCATCCATGATCCACGTGGTGCTGTGGAGTCCGCAACCATGACCAGGTCTCCAGGAACAAAATTCCTCTTCTCCTGGTTCCATTTTTGACGCTCCTGTAAAAGTGGTAAGTATTCGCGGATCCACCTCTTCCAAAAGAGATCCGAGATGTACTGTGTTTGTTTCCACCTTCTCCTTGCGTAAACATCCCCTTTCTCGAACAGTCCTGGTGGGAGAACTGGTTTCCCTTTGAGGAGTAGCAGATGGTTTGGCGTCAACGCCTCAAGGTCATTGGGGTCTTCTGACAGCCTTGTGATGGGGCGATCGTTGAGCATAGCTTCAGCCTCACAGAGCACTGTATGGAACCCTTCGTCATCCAAGGTTTGCTGACGGAGCACAGAGCATAAAATCTTCCTGATCATCCGTATCATGCGCTCCCAAGCGCCACCGTGATGTGACCCAGCTGGAGGGTTAAAGCTCCACTTGATTCCCTTCTTGGACATGGCTTTTTCAATGTGGTTATGATTCAAAGAGGCTAAGGCTTTTCGCAGCTCCTTTTCTGCACCCACAAAGTTGGTGCCATTGTCGGATCTCAAGTGCGAGACTTGTCCTCTTCGACAGATGAACCTTCGCAACGCGTTGATGCACGAGTCCGTGTCCAGAGAATAGGCCACTTCCAGGTGCACGGCTCTGCTTGTCATGCAAGTAAATACTACTCCACACCTTTTCATGATGCTACGCCCTCTTTTCACATCAACTGGCCCAAAGTAATCTACGCCAACGTTAGTGAATGGCGGAAGATCAGGTACCACTCGCTCTTCTGGCAGGTCTGCCATTTTTTGCTCAGCGGTTTTCCTACCATGGAGCTTACAGATGAGGCATCTTGATATGATCTTCCTCACTGCAGTAGGTCCACTTGTGATCCAGTATTTTCTCCTTATAGCAGAAAGAACATGATTTCTACCTCCATGTCCAAGCTGTAAATGGACATGATGGAGGATAAGGTCGGCGATGTGTTGGTCTTTTGACAAGATGAGGGGGTGTTTAACGTCCTCGGGGATTGCTGCCTTATTCAACCGTCCCCCAACTCGTAGAAGTCCTCCTTCTAGAACTGGATCCAATTTGAGGATGCTGCTACTTCTTGGTACTTGTGGCTTGCCAGAGGTTAGTGCAGAAAATTCAGTGGGGAATCTCTCTTGCTGGCAAAAAGCGATTATGGAGGTCTCGGCCTCCAAGAGATCTTCCAGTGTCACCTTCTGATTCCCAAGTGATGTTGAGAAAGCTTGCATCTCCTTTTGCACATCAACCCTGGCTGCTCCAGTAGCACTGGTGTTTGCACATTGTAACTCTTTTCTTTTCATCCTCAGTTTGAGCAGAGTTCCTTTCAGCTTAATGAGCCACGCAACTGCAACCTTCAATCTTTGCCAATCAGAGAAATGGGTAATCAGTTGTGATGTGGCGTTGGTGTCAACAAGTATTGCATTGACCGTCAGACTTCGCTTTACTTCTGGGTCGTCGGCAGTGACACTGGAATCCACAGGAAATGTTGGCCATGTTTCTTCAGGTTCCCGTAGGAATTCCGGGCCTTCTATCCATCTTTGCTTCAGATCTTCTGCCTTCAATCCACGCGAAGCATCGTCAGCAGGGTTCAGGGATGTGGGAACGTATCTCCACTGGTCAACTTCAGAGTTGTCCCTGATGGTGGTTACCCTGTTTGCTACAAAGGTTTGAAATCGTCGGTCCTCATTTTTTATGTACTTAAGAACGGATGTGCTGTCAGTCCAAAAGAAGGTCTTCTTCAGTGGAAGCTGGAGCTCTGATTGAAGCATCTTGTCCACTCGTACTGCAACAACGGCAGCGGTGAGCTCCAAACGGGGAATGGTGACAGGCTTCAGGGGGGACACTCGGGCTTTGCCAAGTAAGAAAGCAACATGAACCCTCTCATCATGTTCTGCATCCTCAGGTAAGTAGCCGTACCATAGCCGTTCTCGCTTGCATCGGCGAAGTGATGCAATTGGGCACTGACAGTCCTTCCAAATCCTTCAGGTTTCACACATCTGGGGATCTTGAAATATTCCACTTTCTCAAGATCTGTCAGCCATTTGTTCCACTTCTGCTGGAAAGCTGGAGGTATTGGATCGTCCCAATCACACTTTGTTCTGCATAACTCCTGCAACAGCAGCTTGGCGGGGAGTATTAGAGGTGCCAGGAATCCCAATGGGTCGTAGACGGAACTAATGATGGATAGCATGCCTCGCTTGGTTGGCGGCTTCTCTTTGACTTTTAGCTTGAATTTGAAAGTGTCCGTCTCAATACACCACTGCAAACCCAAAGCTCTGTCCAATGGCAGCTTATCCCTGTCCAGATCAAGCTCATGCAGGTTCTTGGACCTGAGATCCTCTGGGAGGCTTTGAAGCACTCTTCGACTGTTACTAATCCATTGAGTGAGGGTGAACCCTCCTCTGCCGCAAATGGTTGTAAGATTCTTAGCCATGGTGACTGCATCCGCTTCAGAGGGTAGACTCTTCAATAAGTCATCCATATAGAAGTTTCGGTTGACCGCTTCAATCACTTCTGTTGAAAAGTTGGCCTGATTGTCTTCAGCGGTCTTTCTAAGAGCAAGGCAGGCAACACTGGATGATGAAACCGCTCCAAATAAATGGACAGTCATGCGATGCTCTACAAGATCTTGTTCCAGGGTACCTTGAGGCCACCATAAGAATCTTAAGTAGTCCCGGTGTTCCTCTGCCACTTTAACCTGGTGGAACATAGCCTTTATGTCCGCCATTATGGCCACTTGTTCCTCCCTGAACCTCACAAGAACTCCAACTAACGAGCTGGTGAGGTTTGGTCCTTGCAAAAGCTGACTGTTGAGCGAGATCCCTTTGTACTCTGCTCCACAGTCAAACACCACCCGTAGCTTTCCCTTCCGTGGATGGTACACGCCGTGGTGCGGGATATACCACACCTTTCGTGTTGGCGTTTCCAACTGATGCTGCGGTACTTCTTCGGCATAGCCATTGCTAATGACATCAACAAGAAAGTTGTTGTATTCCTCATGAAAGCTTGCGTCTTTCAGAAGTCTCCTTTTCAGACCGCGAACACGTTGCATGGCAACACCGAGGTTGTTCGGCATCGAAACATCTTTCCCTTTGAAAGG